TTGCAAATATAATGAAATGGTGTTTTAAGATGAATGGAATGTTCCATCTCTCTTGAACAATTTAAAAAAGGCTGCATCTTCTGAGCTTGAGATTAGTCAATAGGACTACTTATATGGTTAGAACATTTTGTTCCCTACATCTGCTGGCTAGACAAAGGGGTTGTTTGTCCTGCTTCTTTTACCTCATTCTGTCTTTTTGTGATTGTTATTTGCATGGTACAGATTGAGGGAGCAAGACAGGAGGAACAGAGCCCCAATGATTAAATTTTGACCCTCATTTTTCCTGATTGTTTCTCATCTCTAGCCTCTCTCATCAGTAGCCACTAATGGCACATTCAATTTTCACTTAAGTCCATGCACCAAAGTGGAGGATGGAACGGAAACTGTGACTGTGTCCTGTGTACTTTTGCACCCTCCAGACCTAGTACAGCCCTTGACTATGTAGTTAGTAACTTAATGAAACATTGCTAAGCAAATAATCAATCACACTGCTACCACCCTCTACAATATCATTCTCTGAAAGCTCAGAACACAACACAGATATTCATATTTTACTTCATTTCAAATCTCTACTTAGAAGAAAAGTCATCAGTGATGGGTGGAGAACTCTAAACAACATTTCATTCTTCACCTCTAAATGGGCATGGAATATCAGGGTGTTTGTGACTTATCATCCATCTTCACAAATGCCAGTGAATGCTACAACAGTCACTTATAAAATAATCCAAAGTAAGCTTTATTAGATTTTCTAAAAAAGGGAAGTTCTGGAAGAATCCTTTTGCTTGCTGTACACCACAAATAAGATTGATGAAGAATATTCTTTGATAAGTAGCTTGAAAAGACAAACTGTGTAACTGAATTTGTTATATTTCATGTTCTCCTCCTCTGCTCTTCGGCTAGCTCTGTTTTGCTTAGCATTTTGAATGTTTAATATATACTAATTTTCCCATTCAATATCATTTCTATCCCAAAGAAACTTTTACACAAGTCATTCTACCAATATTGAAATTCAAAGAGGATATTATTTGGGACATTTGGATCCTGTGGGGTTATTTTGAACCTCAAAAATTTGTTTTCAGTCCTTCTTCAGTGGACTTTTTTTATGGTTAAAGGTAATGACAAAAACAAACAATGCACTCATGTTTCTCTCTTCTTGAATTTCAATTTCAGGAAGCAAGAGAAAACTAAGATTTCACAAAGCACAAGATTGTCAGAGTTGACATTTGTCAAATTGTCTTGATAGCATTCTTTGAACACTGTTGAGGTAGACCGTGATGGAAATTATATACTCCAAGAATTTCAGAATATATAGACAGGATTATCTCACAATATTATAAAAAAATTATCACTAGTCTGTGGTAACTTTTGAGTTTTTCTATTAGTTTAAGCCCAAACAACATAAATTAAGCATTCCACTTAAATTCATATTTACTTAAGAATTCATCCCACCACTATTAGACCTGGAATGTCTGGAGAAATAAGAATGGTAGCATCTTAGAATGCAAGCTGAATGAAACATCTGAGATCACCACATCTAAGCCTTAGAGTTATTGGCAAGAAAATAAAGTCCTGGGAGTAAGACAGACACTTACCTAAATAATCACAATCTTATTTTACAGAAAAAAATATACAAATGTACATAGATACCAGGCTACACACTTCACACATTCTTGTGTATATAATAAAACTCAGTGACTCACACCCAATGCTCAGTTCTCACTCTATCATGGATTGTATGTTTAATACTCATAAAAGTTATGCAAGTGATTGAACGTTGTAAATATATATAAAGTGTATAAAGCTTTTTAGGACAAATGTTTTTCTGGTAGAAGCAATTAAAAATGTTTATCTGATATCAACTGGAAAAAAGAAAGTTAACAATTCTAGAATTTTATGTTTATTCTTTTTCTAAGACTAATAGAGTATGCATGTTTGCTTCAGTGATTTCAATAGGCTAGTTTCAGAAAGCAAGTTTAAATAGATCTTTTCATGAGGTTACATCATATTTTCTTTTTTTTTATTTTATTATTCATATGTGCATACAAGGCTTGGGTCATTTCTCCCCCCCCGCCCCCACCCCCTCCCTTACCACCCACTCTGCCCCCTCCCTCTCCCCCCACCCCCTCAATACCCAGCAGAAACTATTTTGCCCTTATCTCTAATTTTGTTGAAGACAGAGTATAAGCCATAATAGGAAGGAACAAGGGTTTTTGCTGGTTGAGATAAGGATAGCTATACAGGGAGTTGACTCACATTAATTTCCTGTGCGTGTGTGTTACCTTCTAGGTTAATTCTTTTTAATCTCACCTTTTCTCTAGTTCCTGATCTCCTTTTCCTATTGGCCTCAGTTGCTTTTAAGGTATCTGCTTTAGTTTCTTTGCGTTAAGGGCAACAAATGCTAGCTAATTTTTTAGGTGTCTTACCTATCCTCACCCCTCCCTTGTGTGCTAAAGCTTTTATCATGTGCTCAAAGTCCAATGCCCTTATTGTGTTTGCTGTTGATCTAATGTCCACATATGAGGGAGAACATACGATTTTTGGTCTTTTGAGCCAGGCTAGAGGTTACATCATATTTTTAAAAATACCTGCTGACCAAAAGTCTAGGCATGAGAGAAGGCTATTTGCTTGGCAATCTGTTAATTGCTAATTGGGTTTTGTAAGGAAGTGAGCCTAACCCAAACATGGGTGAAAGGGAACAAGGAGAAATGGGTGCAGCTGGAGATAAATCAGAAAAAAATTCAAAGGCAGGATAGACAAGTAAAGAGGACATATGCACTATGGGTCATGACCTACAGCACATCCTGCATCTAAAGAGTTCTGTAATCAGCATTTTCATAATCACCCCACTCTTGCCATCTAACTTTCCATCCTAATCTTCCACCCCAATCCCAGACTGTCCCAAGTATAACTCTAGTAAGGTCTTCATAATAAATTAATAAATATGCTGCATACAATTTCTTAATACTGGTGAGCATTACTGTCAGCAGAAAGTATTCCAAAAGAACATAGAATGTAAAGTGATTTGTAGTATCTTAACACCCCAAAAAAGCTGGAAAAATAATTCTGCTTCCAAATACTCTGTAGCTTCAAACCTCAGCAGAATTCTTAAATGGTTTTGTTGAAGAATTTATTGTTTGAATTTCTTTGGATTCAAATCATTTCCCATATTAATGATGCTAGAGTATAGCTTTTTAGTCTTATACATTATCAGTTATATCTTAATAACTTTAGCAAAAAACACAGACTATGTGTTATTATAACTTTAGAAGTATTGCATTTCTTTAAGACTTTTAGAAGTAACCTATCAAAGTACCACTTCAAAAACTTCTAATATACCAAAATACATTCACATACTATATATCCCTCAATGTGTTTTATTTTAGGAAATATGTAAGCCACAAGCCCAGAACTTGAAGCAGAAAAGTGATTTTCAACCAGAAATGTTATTTCATATGTATTTTTTCTCGAGTGCATCATATTTGAAAATATATTTGCCTCCCGAGGACAGTTGAAAGGAATACCCTTTCTCTTGACAGCACCTGGCAAATTAGATGCTTTTAAATAATTATTGACTTGGTTTGATTTTGTTTGGGGCCTTTTACAAATTCAGAATATCTGCTAGATTAACCTCAGATATGACCTTGATATTAGATTGGTTTAAAAAAATTAAAACTAAGGAAGAGATCCATGATAACTGATGAGGTAATTTTCCCAGTCACAGTGGTCAAGCACCATCCCACCCAAATCCTATTGAACTGCTAAGAACAAGAGACACAACCATGTTGAAAAAATGCTCTATGGTTCCATTGAATCCTTGCCATCTCCTTCTTTACTTTTAAAAGAGAATTATTATATAAGGGAAGAGAAGAAAGCAACAAATAGAAGTTCAAAGTCTGAGGTCTTAAATCACTTCTCTACTAGTAACAGCTCTGGGATCACTGCAAAATTACTTAGCCCTTTTATAAACCAGTTACTTCCACCTCCCTCATCTATAAACATAAGAGGTTGGACTACATCTCCCAGGCCTCTTCTAATTCCCAAACCTCATAATTCCAACTCCCACAAAAAATAAATGTAATGCTGGGATGTTCATTTTCCATAGTAAAGGAGCTGGACATTTTCATTAACAAATGTCAGAAGCCATAACAAACTTTGTGGATTTGAGTGCTCAATAAATATTAAACAGTAAATTTATCTTTCATCTGCAAAATTGGGTGAGTACTTTTCTCCCAGAATTTTGTGTAAGAAATAATAAATGAGAACAAAGAACTTGGATAATGAAGTAATTCAAATAAGCACCTTTAATAGGTCTGAGGTCTAGATAAATGATGCAAGAATAAAGTGCCTTTTTAAAATTATTACTACGTCTGTAAAATACAACAGTCTATTCATCTAGTTAAGAAGAAGCAATTAGCTGAGCACTGTTGGCTCCTGCCCATACCCTAGCTACTTGGGAGGCTGAGATTGGGAGGCCAGCCCAGGCAAATAGTTTATGAGACCCCCATCTCCAAAATAACCAGAGAAAAATGGACTGGAGGCATGGCTCAAATGGTAGAGTGCTTGCTTTGCAACATGAAACCCTGAGTTCAAACACCAGTCCTACCAAAAAAGAAAGAAAAGAAACAATTATTATTGTCTTTTCTTATCACCAATAAAGTCAGCTTGAGTAATTTCTGTGCGAATGGAAATTTTCTTGTAGTCTTAACCTGTTTCACTTTTAACAACATGCTCCTTTTATCATTACCTAATATTAAAACAGAATCATGTCTTTGTTTAGCTAAATGAGGTATTCTGTCAGCATTGTACTACTCTGCCCAAAGACAATGCTTTCTGAAATGACTGGTAAAGTGCACATGAGAAAACTGAAGATTTAATAATCTTCCTACTCAAAAATAATAACAATTCTGGAACTCTTAACTAAGGAAAATGGTATGTTGCATCATAATGTTTGTTTTTTAATACTCATATTCAACAAATAATATGTACTGTATTTTTTACAGTGTTCCAACAAAAGGCAGCCAGAAGACAATCTGATTGTGACAAGTTCCATGGTGTTCCTAAGAAACCAGGTACTGATGTTAACTTCAGTCTGCTTAGTAATCGCTAAGTAAGATTTAAAGAAATAAAGATTTAAAGAAATAAAGCCTCCCAGGTCAGAAGTAAGTAATTATGTGTTTGTTAATTTAACTCTGAAGTTAGTATCTTACCTAAATATAATTTTTCCATAATAATATTAATGCAAGAAAATTATTTTAATTAAGAAATGTGGGAAATGGCCGTGTCATAATGCTTGTGGTGATGTGGTTGAATTGTTATGATGCTCCAGGAAGGTCAAGTATGATGACTTGTGCAACATGCATCTGAAGACACAATTTCATAGACCTGCAGAGGGAAGCCTCTTTCCTGGGGCACCACTTGCTGGGAAGGGCAGGTATCTGAAACCCCACAAGAAGGGACTGGCATGGATTTTTCTTCTGCTCTCCTCTGAATGTCAATGACGAATGCATCCTTTACTCACTATATTTTATTTCCTTCAGCACTCAATTCAACATGTTTTGAACAATTGTTTTTCACACAGAGAACAACTGGAAATTATGACCACAGAAACATCTCACATACGTGGCCTCCAGTTTTCCCTAAAACTCCTACCTCCTTTTGAAAATAAAGACTCTAACAGGCTGTTTATTATGATTTATGTGGCAATCAGGACTGACTTAATGTTCAAATGTGAAAAATGTAAAAGTTGGTAGATGTAGGTGTAACATTAGCTGACTCTACTGATCAACAAGTATATACAAACCCACCTTCGAAATAACTTCATTCCTAAACATTTCATTATCCTGAAATTTATAACAGGAAATTGTTGAGAAAGACATTAAAATAAAATCAGGAAATTATTTCACATCAGCCACTACACCATTCCCATGGTTCTTCTCTTCTTGTGCCATTGTGGAAATAGCTAGGAACAGACTTCACCAATTTCTAAAGTCACTGAATTTGTAAAATATAGAACTTCATCTGATCTGCTACTAGGACACTATGAATTGTTCTGCAAGAAAGTGGTGTCTTAAATGAGTGATATTCACCCATCACTTCCAGTGCTTTTTTTTTTTTCATGGCCATGGCATTAGATACACAGTATTTGAGTGTAATGAGGAAACCAAACTTCTACTGTTCTACAAATCACTTCGATATGCTGCTTGCAAATTTACATGTAAAAAAGCCCCACCTCTCTTCATTTGGCAGTTTTGTACTTTTAGCAATTTCATAATTTATGGGAGATGATAGATCTTTTTAAAGCCTACTGTTATCCTCCCACTGTGCCCTTAGCAAACTCAGGAAATAAATGCAAAACCCTACATGAAATCTTTGTACAGTTAGGATCAGAACAGTTCCTAAAGAATTAAAGTAGATAAGATTACTCCTATCAAGACTCCCCCACATACCTCACAGAGCTTTGTAAAGAATAAAAAGAGGAGATGCTTTGAGCTCTTTGTGAGAAAATGTCCCTGAAGCATTTTCTTATAAATGATTCGAGTGTTATGTTTTTAATTAAATTCTGTTAGAATTAACAAAAAATGTGAAGAGGTCCACAGGAGATGAAGGAGAGTAACAAGGATCCAGTGTGATGAAGATATCTTTGGAATAGTTGATCTTCTTAGTTAGCCTTCTGGCTATCCCTCAGAAAGAAATTTAAGGAAAGGCTGCTGATATTACTTAAGCCTGGAAGACCTGATAATTATTCCATGATGTGTGTAGAAAAATAGTATCCACCTGTACAAAGACAAAAGGACAGAGAGAATGGTGAAAGAAAACAAGGCCCTGATAACACAATATTTTATTGGTTTGACAGTTGCCCAAGTCTTATTACCTAAATTGCGTCATCAAAGTCAATTATCATTTGATTTTCTGAACTCTTTGGGGACATAGGATAGTGAAATTTTTTAACATATTTTACCTGAGAAATTTTCATCTTTATATTATTAAATCTAATGTATTGATTACACTTTTATTGGTTTACCCTACAGCAGTTCCCCTAGATTCCTTTAATCAGGAACTTAGCAGAATGAGACAGAATATTGTCCTATTTGTCAGAATTAAGAGAACATTAAACTTTATGAATATTCAAAACCCTCTCTGATAACTACAATTTTCATAGAAATCAGCTTCTAGCATGAGAAAAAATGATAGCCAGGAATAATTGAGAATATTATGAAAAAGAAGTAAGTATCTAAGTACCTAAAAGGCCTATGTTAACCTACCATATTTCTTTAAGCTGTTTCAGATATTGTCATCATCCAGTCCATGAACATGCTAGGCAATCAGAATTGCTTGTTATGATTCCTGAATCATTCCTGATTCTCTTCATATCTACTAGGTTTTCATGGTGTAATAGGAAAAACCAGTAGATACATCACTGAATGATAATCTCTTTACTTAGTATAAACAAGGGAAATGATTTTATGAAATGTTTGTCAGTCAGTAATTTCTAAAGGGATTACACAGATTCCCTAATAATGTTAAACAAAATATGTAATTTTCCTACTGTATAATAGAAGGAAAAATGATGACAAGAGCCAAGAATATTCTCTTGAAAATGTAAGCATCTCAGTGCCCTAAATTCAATATTGTCAAGGGATTGCCAGGAATTCACATTATTACTAAGCCAAGGAATTTTCCTGAGGAATAGCAAAAAACTTAATTGGCACCATTTCAGTAGAAACCCAATAGATTTCTTCAATTCAGCTTTTATATTTTGAAAAACTACAAGGAAGTGCACTAAGGACTATGGATCCCAGATAAAATTTTCCATCCATATAAAATCAACTTTTTCTGTTTGGTTTTGAAATTAGAAAATGTCAAAGAGTGCTGTCACAGACAGAATATGTTGTCACCACACCTCTGCTCTACTTCCTAACATTGAGCTGCACAGAGCAGTTCAGGGTGTGTTCCTCAGTGTTTCATGCTACACAACTGGATTGTGTCAGTATAGTTGGAGTTGATCAGGGTTTTGAAGCCTGAGTTATGTTAATCAAGGTAATGGGTGGCTGATTTAAAACGTCGGTTAAGCCTACAATTAGGGAAGGTTCCTTCCTCAATTCTTGCACTCATTTTGTCCTTGCCAAATAATAAAGTTTCTATCAAAATAATTAGTAGTTAGAAGGCTACTAGGTGAACATAATCAAGCCAAAATGTGCTGGGGGAATGTAAGGACTCCTTCTTCAAGGATGTGGAAACGTCTGGCTAATTTTCCTTGCCTTGCAAAATCATGCAATATTCGAGGATCCAGATTACTCATATTTCCCAGACCTGTTATATGTTTTTCTTGGATTATTCCTTCCTTTCTATCCAAACCAGGACCAACCCCATTTTACTAATGTTGTTTTACTGCAAATAAGACACAAGACCCTGGTTAGGTTCAGGCACTAATAGTCTGCCTCCTTGTGATCATGGATCAGTTCTATTATTGAATTATGAAGTTCAATAATGAGCCTCAGCAAGGATGTATTGTTGCTGTCACTCCTAAGGGCAAACCATTTCTTGGAGGGATAGGGCAGGTAGGTAGGAGCAAATCCATCCTAACCAACTGCCTATGCCAGGTGCCCTAACTTTGAATGGGCATAAGATTTGTAGAGCTCCTATTGTT